AAGACACCAAAGGATTCACGGTCTCTCTTCAGGCTAGCACGAAACATTGCCCGGAGCTCTTTGCGAGTTTCATTTTGTTCGCTTCCAGTCGGAATATGCCGGCGAGCATCGATAAGTTCCAGAGACCACGAAGAGACCCAATGTCCATGTTGACGATTAGACTTACCACATGAGGATTTTCCTGCTGCTAGTAAAGTCTGGTAAACCTGCGACCAGTGACCTTCAATTGGCTTCAGGGAGCGCTTACTCAACTCGCATGTCAGCGCACTTCGATACGCATTCAGAACAGTTGGCTGGTGTTAATGCGCGCACAACGTCATCTTGGGTGTCCGCCAAACGCATCCGCATGTCAGCACACACAAGTGCATAGTCGGCGTCCACACATCTGCTCCAAATCGAGCGACGGTTCTGGACGCAGCCTCTCCAGCGATAACTGATTGCAATGTGGTCGATTTGCGTCGAAGGCTAGTGGGTGCCAAGTCACCCCCCAGCGGATGCTGTGTCGGAAGTTAGTGCTCGTAAGAAATAAGCGGGCATCTATACACAAATGAATTAACCGCTCACCGTTATCATTACGGGAGCCTACACCATGTTGACCGCCCAGATGCATTTCATCAGTGGACAACTTTCCAACTTGTGCGTTCAGATCCCTCGCCAGCACAACAGTGTCCGTGTTTCCATTGTGGCGAAGGAGCTCAGTCAGTTGGCTATAGAAGTAGTCTTTTACCGAATCATCGCTACAGTTTGTGGGCGCGTAGGCAGCGATGATGAGTAGACACCTATTAGTATCGCGCGACCTCGAAGCTTTGAACGAGCCAGCCAATCGGACCGCACATATCTGGCTACTGACTGGGATCCAGTCAACCACAGTAGCTTCAGCCCGGGGACTCAGACCAATACCAACACCAGTTTGGCCGGTGCTCGAAGCTTCATCGTCACCGGATGGGCGCAATGAGAAAGTCCTGCTGGTTTCACCTAAAGGGGATCGCAAAGTGAGCACAAAGCTCGAGTCTTGCAGGCGGGTCTCTTATAGACATCAGATATCGATCGAGAGGGTCTCCAGTGTTCGGGCAAATGCTGCTTGTTGATTGATTTGTAGCAATGTGCGTACATTGAGGCATGCAAACCTGAAGGATGATCGAGGGCTCCAAATGGAAGCCGATGAACTGTGGTGGACCGCTTGGATGGACATGGGCTTGTCGGCGGGACAGGAATGACGCTCCGCGCTCACATGTGAGTTAAAACTGGAAGGTAAAAGCCTAGGAAAGCAAGGTGAGGGAGGGTCAAGAATTTTGGGGTTGAAAACAGGGATAAAAGTGCAGCTGAAACGGGACGGTAAGAGAGAAAAAGCGTATGTGGGGCAATAAGAAGACTGAAGGACTTGAGCAGTAGCATCCAAACCCCTATCCACTCTGCTCGATGCGACAGATAGGGCACGGTTGATTATTCTCTGCAGTGGCCAGAGCATCAAAAGATTGTTAGAAGGAAAAGTCATGGTGTATTGCGTGGGGAGGATACTGTCAGGTTGCCCAGGCCTAGACAGGAGAACGATTAGGGTTCTCAATAAAAGCAATGGTACAAAAACCTGACCGAAAGGCAGCGGGTTTGGCGTTGAACTACAAGGAGTCCGATTTAAGGAATAACGAGCCATCCTCATTCCAACCCCAACATGGAGGACCAGGAGGATGAGTTTGTCTGGCTTCTAACCATTGACCAATCTGGTATAAGTGGCTGTGAAGGTGCAAAAAAGCACCACCCAGCATAGCTCAATGGATCATTGAGGCGCACAAACCAAAGCATCAAGGTAAGCTCCGGCCTTATAGCGATGGGGACAGTCTCCTGCTCCCAAAGTTTCACAAGCAACTCGTGTAAATCATCCACTAGAGCAGATCCCGGAATTTGAAGAGGGCTGCGGGAATTCAATCTGCCCCTGCAGCCTTATGCAATTTCAGCAGCCTGATCTCATGTTGGACATCTGCGCGTGAGGGCGGGTACAAGGAGACGGCCCAAGGAGAAGGGCGCTCAATGCACGAAAAAGAAAGCGGTAACTCAGGTTAGTTAAATTGGGTTGGCAAAGTGTGCGGCCCAACGCTCCAAGCGTTTTGACAGGCTGTGGATCGGCTGCCCACTCTCGTCGCGTATGATCTCACCAACACCAGGTCTCCTGCTGCCAGTTTCCCATATCAAACGGAATAACTTACGATGATTACCAACGGCAACGGCTGTTTCCATCTCAGAGGCACGATGAGACCACCAAGCTTCGCGGTCCTTTTTCAGGCTAGCACGTAGTTTTACACTGAGATTTTTGCGAGCCTCATTGTATTCGCTTCCAGCCGGAATACGTCGGCGAGCATCCATAAGTTCCAAAGACTGGTAGAGACCCAATATGCAGTTTGGCAATTTGATTTGCCACATGAAGACATGCCTGCTGATAGTAAAGTTTGACGAATATGCGACCAGTGTACATCGACGGTGTTCAATGGGCGCTTACTCAGCCCGGATGTCAGTGCACTTTGATGAACATACAGAACACCTGGCTTCGCCAGCTGGCTGGTGTCAATCCGTACATGTCGACGTGGCGGACGTCCACCGAAACGCACCCGGAAGTCGGCGTAGACAAGTGCGCGGTCAGAGTACACACTGTTGCTCCAAACAGAACGACAGTCTTGAACACAGCCTCCCCAGCGGTAAGTGATCGTGATATAATCGATTTGCGTCCATGGCTGGCCTGAGGCTGGTGGGAGCGAAGTCACGCTCCTGTGGGTGCTGTGTCGAAAGTATGTGCTCGCGAGAAAGAGACGAGCATATTCACACAGCTGTAGCAATCGATCATCATTTTCATTACGAGAACCTACACCATGTTGGCCGTTCATATGAAGCTCATCAGAGGACAAATTTCCGACTTGCGCGTTAAGATCACCAGCCCGCACCACAGTATCCGTGCTTATTCTGTGACGAATAAAATCCTTAAGTTGATAACAGAAACCATATTTCATCGAATCAGTGCTAGGGGCGTAAGCTGCAATGACAGCATGATCAGCAGCAGCAGCAGTAAAGCAGCCATTTGAACTGATGCTTCGCTGCCATACAACCATGAGGACCTATGAAATAAAGAATAAGAAGAGGGAGAGAAGGGAGACTTGCCCGAAAACCTAAATGTCCTAAGCAAACATTCAGGGTCAAGGCGCCTACACCTTGTGTAGACAACATACCGTCACAAACAGCTGGCTATCGTGCAAACATAAGGCGGCATCGGCGAGACAGTTTCCTTGAGGCTTTCATTGCGACGCGTCATAATCAGCTATTACGCAGCAGATAACTCGGTAACAAACACACATTAAAAAGGCAAACCTATTAGGGAGACGGCAGCAGACGAGCCACTGGTGTCTACTGCAAGCCATGTTCTGTAAAGTCTCCAGCCAAGCACAAGGCGAGCCAAATGGTGCCATCCGACACCAGCAATGCTTCGCAAACAACGATGATCAAAGGCTTGAAGGCGCCTCAGATCTTCAGACCGAAGGGGCCAAGTTTCACTACCATACAGCAGAACGGCCCTCACTGTGGCCTCGTATACACGGCCTTTCAGACGGAGGGAAACTCCCTTCTGTCGCCAAAGATGCCGCAGATTCGAGAAGGCAGCTCTGGCCTTTGCAATGCGTGAGCTGACGTCAGTTTCTATGCGCCCATCATTTCTGATGCAGCTGCCAAGATAAGTAAAATGATCAACC